GATGTTAGAATTATTTCGTTGAAAAATTTCTTAAGGCATTTATTTTACTTAGGTCAGTCCAAAAGTAGTTGCAGAGGTATATCAATTTCTTATAGAAAGTTCGGAGGAACTTCTTTTCTATACAGTCTGATAGAGAAAAGAAAGCTCTATTTTCCTATGCTATTTGATCATACTTTAACTAATATGATGATAATAAATTTTTCATAAGACTTTTTTCTTTAACATGTCTGCTCGTTGTACTAGCTCACAATGAGTTAGACCGGTTAGTTTTTTTAGTCCACTAATATATTATATTAATAACCAAAATATGCCATAAGATGCAGCGTGGAAAGCTCTACAATTCCCATAAGACCACTTATTTTCTAGTTGCACTTTTTTTTTCAAAATGGACAAAGTTTTGAGTGATCGAACTTTGGCCGTTGTAAAAACTGATCGTATAGAATTTTCCTTTCTCTCAAAACAATTTCAATAAACCTTACTATGTAGATTGTAGAGCTTTTCACGCTGCATCTTCTGGTGTATTTTGTTTTTCTTTTGATAAAGCATATTAGGTGATAAAATGATCAACAACAAAAAATGAATTCGTCGTGTATCAAAAACATTATCTTTTTCACGGTTGAAATTTGGTTGCTGAAAATTTAGTCTATTTTAAGAACAAAATATGCAACTAGAAAATAAATGGTCTTATGGAAATTATAGAGCTTCTCACGCTGCATCTTATGGCATATTTTGATTGTTAATACAACTAACAAGGAAATGAAAACTGCGATGTACAACTTACAACGAGCAGATATGTTAAAGAAAAAAGTCTTATGAAAAATTTATTATCATCATATTAGTTAAAGTATGATCAAATAGCATAGGAAAATAGAGCTTTCTTTTCTCTATCAGACTGTATAGAAAAGAAGTTCCTCAGAACTTTCTATAAGAAATTGATATACCTCCGCAACTACTTTTGGACTGACCTAAGTATTATTACAAAATAAAATTAATTAGTCAAAGATTATATAATAAAAACATATCTCGCCAATAGTTTCTACCAATAATAAAAATTAAACTAAATTCTTCACTAGATGCTGTATGAGGATGAATATGATGACATTGATGAGCTCATTAAATTTGTTTTAAATATGTATTCGATGCCTTATCATTCCAAAAAGAATATCATTGATAGATTAATCCATCATGTACAATGAAATAAATAAGTCTATATAATGTTATTTCAAATCTTATTTCAAGATGTAACGGTGAGAGTGTGAATCAACGAATATAAATTAATGTGAAAATGGTTGTGGAATATAGATGGAATTAATTCCATAATGAGAATTGTTATTATTATTATTATTATCCATGTATTGTGTCATACTCACATATTTATTGATGTCTTGCGTTGACTAAAAATCTATAAAAATCAATTGAAGGAAGTATATACTAAGAATATCTGCAGTTAAAAGTTATAATTAAATAACCAAATATAATTAATCAGGCCTACTAAACTTTGTTTATAATAGCATCGAATAGCTTGATGTAACATTAAGTATAAATAGAATGCTCATGAATCAGATCTATACTATATAATAGCAACTGACATACTACATACATACAAAACTAAAAATTCTTTTCATTTTAATGAATATTAAGGAAATTAGTAAAAGAATGAATTGATTTTTTTTGTCAATATCGAAAGTTTATACAAGAAAATCAAAACAACAAAACTTTATTGTTCTTCAGATTATTGAACATCTAGAAGAAGATGCAGCAATTGAATCAATCTTCTTGATAAACAATACAGAATTGACTTGGACGTTTGTTGGATCTGTAACTCGCCACTCGATAGTTGTAAGATCGTCACTTGGATGTGCATTATAGCTGCTCACAGTACATCTATTTATACGGAAACCATTTTCTTTGACACTGCATTCTAGTACGGGTACCAATTGGTGACCACCATAAGAAAATGCTCTTGCATATGATGGGTGTGGGTGGGTGTGGGTGTGGGTGTGGGTATAGGGTGAGGGTGTGTATGTGGTTAAAGAGATCCGTACACCCACACTCATACCCACACCCACCCTGTGTAGAAAATTTCATCGTGATCTGACTCTCCTTTCAAAAGTTATCGTGTAAACGGACGGACACACTGACCGATTCTAGAGTGTACTCACTTTTTGAGTACACAAAAACATTTTCGAACATTTGTTATTCAGTCTTCGAATTTTAAATATTCAGAAAATGCTTTATTTTCTAAACTATCGGCAATCACTTTCGATTTGAAAAAAATTATTGTATTAATAATGATATCTTTCTTACAAGTGTTTTAGAGAATCAATCATTATAATCGATTATGACATTAGACGTGTAATATATGATTTGTACCATGAAATAATTTACATTATAATTAGATGCAAATATCTTTCATTTCTAAATTTTATGGTTTTTGCTCGTTATAGTGCATCATTTCAATGAAATAAATAACAGAGTAGATTTGCATATGAATTATCATTCAGTTTTCGTATCCTGTTAATATGAAAACAGGAAAAAATGCGTTAGATAAACAGAAGTGTGCAAGATTAGTATAACTACGCAGTCTAAACAACCATGATTTCATTTTTTCGTGTCTGTTTGTCTGTTGATGATCGCTTTTTTGAGATCAACAGAAGAATGACTTGACGGATACTAATCTAAATGTTTGGTTAAAAAGATGTACTTTTGCTGCAATACTGATTTGTTATGATGTATTGGCATTAGAAAAAAGTTGTGGTGCTATGAAATTAGTGCATCGGATATTAATATTGCATTGGGTAAGAATGAAGTTTTAACATACAAAGTAGAGGATTGTTATTGCATAAATAATTGATATTTCATTCGTGTATTTTATCGTTTAAATCTCGTTGGCCAATTTTTCAAATGTCTTGATGCTAATATGTCTATTAGACTTGTTTTCAAATCTTTCGTACGCATTTCTTTATTGAAGACTTAAGAGAGACTAAAAGTATTTATCTCATTTTTTGTCTTTTATTGTACTCTATTTTGGATTAATAATATATGGAAAGGTCTAATGAAAATCCTTTGGCATGGTTTGCTGAAAATCGCTGTGATAAATACATAAAAAAAGTTTATGGTATCGGCGAATTTTTCACTATTTAATTATCCAGTATATTTTTTTATCTAGTTTAGAAGAAGAAATCGATGGTTTATTTTTATCACATTTAAGTTGATTATCAATTCAAGAATTATTATTGATTATACAGATAATAATATTAGTAAAAAACCAACTATTGGTGTAAAAACAACATTCGAAAAAAAAACTGGAGAAGTTGAGAGAGTGTTTTTTCAAGTAATAAGCAAGTGTTTATCCATTTGCTTTAACTGATCAGCGTTGCTTTCTCTTTCGTTTTAGTAGTATACTTATATAACAATTACACTTCAATGGATCAAATATTTTATCATTTTTCAATGATTTCAATATCGGTAATGTAAAATACGATGTTGAATAGCATCACGAACTCAAAGTATATCTACCAACTTCATAGACGTCAACTCAATCATCTTTATTGAATTCAAATTTTTGACAACCTATTGATGATGTACCACTTGACAAAATGATCCATTAACCATTGGATAATTTTTCAACAAGCTGAACAACATCTCAATCAAAAAAAAGTTCTATTGAATTATGTGCTATCAAGGTTTGATAAAGTTTTTGAAGAAGTTGCTGATGATCCATTACCAACAGACTTTTGAGCATGATGCAGAAAGAAAGAACAATTAGTTAAAACAATTCACCAGGATGTGGTCTATATTTGTGGTATCGATTTTTATTCAACAGCATTTGAATTCGATCAAATGATGGTTAACATCAAAGATAAATATCTAGCATTTGGTATACTATTAGTGAAGATATGATATGTTACGTGAAAGACCGAATACTTTTTTCATCTTTACTTAATTTTTTTTCTCATTTAGAGTTTTTTTTAGCATGATCATTAAAACAACAAGTATTCGCTTATTCATCTGAAGTATTGGTGAAAAAATGAAAATCATACGATCATCGAATGTCAAGACTGACGTTGAAATTTTAAAGATTGACTATACATTTAGTCGAGTAAAAGTCAAACTATTATGTTATATTCTCTGAATTTTTTTTTGTTCTTTTAAGTATGTTTCGTTGAATAAAAAGAACAATCAGAAGAGTCTTTGATGCAATTATGTCAACAAGCCGATTAGATGCATGTTTTAATTAATACAACAACTTATGATTATGGTCAAGTAAAAGTTAAAATGGATATTATTTTCATTTGGTAGGTTTTTTCTCCTTATGTTAAAGAAAACAACATCAAAGGAAACATTCATGTTACACTCAGATGTCGCTCGCTACAAAGATAGTTTTAACATCTTTCTGATTAGAAATTTACACAGGCGAATAACAAACCACATCGAGAAAAACAACGTTTGTTTACTATAGAGAAAACCTAATAAAACTATGGAAAATATAATTCAAGTAAATTTGTCTTTTACTACAAATTAAATTTGATTTTCATATACTTATGTAGGTGATTGAAGAGATATTGTCCTCCTATGATTTGCAACCATTCGTATTTGATATAGTTTGGGTATGTGATAGACAAAGTAGCCTGAAGAAAACGTTCTATCAAACCGAAATAGATGAGGCAAAAAAAGATACAGTATTTGGTGATTATTATATTGATTCAATTGACGATGACGATGATCAAATTAATGGAAGTAATAGCGAAGAAGATGATAGCTCTTGTGATGATGATAAATTACTTAATAAAAGAACCACATCTGTTAGTTATACCTCTACAACACCAAGCCCAATCAATGTTCTCACTATTCTTGCTCAATTACTATTAGTTTCAAAACGTATTTTAGTAACTATTATCCAGTACAAAGAGCTGGTGAAGTATATAAAAAATGTAAATCCAATATCAAGATTCTTTTGTTACTAACTTAGAGAAAATAAAAAATCTGAACGCTTTTAAAAAATTCTTACTAGATAGAATCTTTTAAGGGTCCTAGACTTTTCGACTAGAACTTTTTTTCTCTGAAAGTTTTGGGCAAAAAGGTTCTAATTGGAAAGTCTATACCCTCTAAAAGATTTGATAAAATGATATGCATTAAGTAGGTGTTGTTTGATGTCTGCTTTTTTTTCTTTTTTTCTTTTTATAGAAAACGGTTCAATAAAACAAACTAATTTTTTTAGGTCTTTAAATCCATTCCTTGAAATATTTAATGAAAAAAATTTGAATAAGGAAAGAATTAATATAATTATATCATCTATACTAGATAAAATAATTGATTTTTTAAAACCATGGACTCATATAAAGAAACGTATTCAATCATTGCAAGTACCATCAATACATACGGTAACACCAAGTATATTTATAATAAATTCCTCATTAAATATAAGCCAAGTGATTATAAACAAGAAAAAGGTCAATGATTACAATTTTCTTTATCTATTTTTACTAAATAACTTTTTTTTTACAGGTATCGATTTTTTACGTCAACGAGAACAACAAGTGATCAAAGAATTGATTTCTTTCGATTCCATACATCTCATAGAAACTTTCTCCAATCCTAAGACACAAAAAATGAAGCAATTGTCAGCAAAATAAAGAGAAGAATGTATTGAATACGTAAAAGAACAACTGTTGCTTTTTGATGTTAATCAGTATGTTAAATCATCTGCAAACAAGAAACCAGTTTCATTATCAACAAATGCTTTATTTCTAAATGTAACAGATTTTTATTTAAATGTAGAATTTGTTGACGAAGATCATGCTGATCAATACGGTTCGTCAAAGTCTTTATCACATATAATCCAAATTGACTTGTATTTAAAGCATGGTGCAGATAAAACACATCAGTGACGAATTCTGGCCAAGAAGATGGAGAATATTGTCTATTATCATTTTCGAAGAAGAAACATGCTTCTTATCCTATTTTGATGAAAGCTACTACTCGGGTTTTAGCTGTACCAGCTACCAGTGCACCAGTTGAACGCGAGTTCAGCTTTACTGATAATACTATTACACAAAAGCGCTCAAAATTATCACCAGATTCAGTGAATGATATTGTTTTCAATCATTAACACTGTTACCTATGTACATCGTCAACATCTTGTTCAAGAGACGAAATCAAACAAAGAGATTGTTTGATTATATCCATCTTTATCAGTGATCGATTCGATCATTCTTCGAGCGTGTATTTTTTTGATCGACTAATAATTCATTGAAATATTGCTGAGTTTGAGCAATTCGTTCAAAGAAGCTGGCATCATCTCAATATCACATATACATTTATTTTATTTTTTTCATGAACAATTGATTCGTAAAATCAATCTTTGTTCTGATCCATTTACTGGAGATAGTATTCAAGCATTAAAATCTTGTAAAACTGTAATTAAATCATGTGAGTAATGTATTGACTATTTTCAAATTATTCTATAATTTACATCGCTTAATTTTATCCTTATTTATTGTAGGAAACAATTAATGTATAAAATATTTAATACAAAATCTCCAGGCAAGGTTCGAGAAATGTTAAAGGTGTTGAATGATTTTTCCTTGAACAAATGATTATTTGACTTATCATTGGCAGTTAAACCATTTTTAGATGGATATAAACTGAATAATCATGCACTATGAAGATACATTATTCTATGTATAATGGTATGTTACGCTTCAAGAGTTAAGTTCAATGCGAAATTCTAGTAGGAGATATTTTTGAACAAACAGTTTTCAAAGGATATTTAAGACTCGAACTCTTCTAATTAATCGCATGAAAAATTCTATATTCTTATGGCATACGATATTGAAAAAAAATCCGAAATATTGAAGAAAATTTAGTAGATTCAAAAGAAAAATATCCGTAGGCATTCATATGACAACCTTTGATGAGAAACAAGCATCTTATTTTTAGCAATAGATGATTGTGTGCTTGAGTCATACATTATTTCTCTCTTTGTTGATTATAGTTTGAAATGATAAGATAATGAGATAAATGATCATTGAAACTGTCAAGAATAATGTAAATTGTATCAATCAAATACACAATAGAAATACCTTGTGAGATAAGGAATGAGAAAGAAAAGAAAATATGTGATGGTGCAGAATGTTTTTTTTTATATGCATGGGTATTGATGATATCAAAGGACAAGGTCCTTATTAACTACAGCAAACAATGAGCTTTCAAAAAAAATGCGTTTAACCATATCTATTCTCTAAAACTGAGAAACGTCATCAGAATAGTTTTGTTCTTTGCATTCCCATCTTCTACTCTCTAAATATAACAAAATGAGATCATTTTTAAATAAATGCAAAATAAATAAAAAAAAATACGGCAACGAAATATAATATGTTTAGACAAATATAATGTACTTTTTTATTCATACAATGACATACAAGGTCATATATAATCATATGAGATAGAGAGAAAAAGAAAAGGAAAAAATTGAACAATAATTATATTTTAGTCCTTGGAAGAATATAGGTTGTCTATATTGTGTTAAAGACGTTGATGTAAGCTAACCATCAATGATACAGTTCTTGCTAATACTAAGCTAGACGAAATTTTAAAAAAAACATTGAAAAAGATATTTAGAGTATAAAATCTTATACTCACATAGAAGAGTATTCTAGGTTACTTTTTTTTGATAACATGATGCTCAGTGATTTGTAGATATATATATATGTTCGTATGTGTAATATAATGAATAAAATATTCTTGTCAAGCTTTTTTCAATATTGATTTATGTTATAAATAGAAAACTAAATGCCATCGTCAATAATCCTCGGGGAAGTATTAATAAAGTACAAATGATATAAGAGTAAATGCTGCTGTGTCGTTGTTTATAGTTTGGCTGTTATCTCCTTACTATAAGTGTCCTTTTGATTATCAGTATTGTGTAAACTTCAAATACATCTAAAGATGAAATTACAGTATGATATAAGTAAATAATTAATTTAAAGTTCACATGAATATTTCATTAAAATTAAGTTTTGACATATTCGTACTTCAAAATAGATAGGAAATGATTATGCATCAGTCTAAAAAAATTGCATAAATAAGTATATGGACATAGCTTGTTCATATTTATGAAGAGATTTTTCGTTTACTAGTTAACTAATCACACTAATAAGTATGCATGATATGAATTTTTCAATACTAATTCTGTTTTTTTTAGGATATTTGGTATTGTTTACCACTTACTCGAACTTGTCAAAATACATGTCCTTTTTAAAGAAAGTGGAAGGAAGACAAGATGACTTTTTGTTGTTATCGAAAGATTCACACAATCACTTATGGAATTCATATAAAAAGTCTAAACTAATAACAATCTGGAAGATATATCTTGAGTAAAATAGAAAAGTTTATAGCAAAAAGAAGGGACATATCAGACGACAGTAGAAGACTCCATGTGCATTTACTCATCGATAGTAACTTTTTGATTGATTGCTGAAAAGATCATGCACTGTAAATTTTGTATAAATTCTATTTTTTAGAAAATCGACTTTAAAAATGCTAAAGGATTTTGAAAATTACATTATTTATTGGTCGAATTTGAAATAGTTAGAAAATGTTTGATTTTTGGAAAGATTCATTTTGGAAAATCGAAAATCAACAGTAGTTTTAAACAATATTCGAAATTCTATTTCTATTTCGAGAAAATCATTGTACTAATAATCACTTGTTTTTTTTATGTCGTATAAAAAACTTGTGTTTCATTCGTGTGTCTTATCTGTGAAGTTTTGCTGATTAATATTTTTTAATTTCTTGATATTGATATATCTATTCAACTTGTCTTGAAATCCTTCGTATTATTTCCTTATAGAAGACTTAAGAACAAGTAAAAATATCGTTTTCATTTTTTCTATTTGTCTACTTTATTTTAGATTAATAATATATAGAGTAGAGTATTGAAAATGTCTCCAGATGGTTGACTGATAATGATTTGGATAAATACGTTGACAAATTTCAATCTATCGGCAAATCACTTACTATTTTACTATTCGGTCTATTTTTCATTTATTTCAGAAGACAAAATTCATTATGTATTATTATAACATTTAAGTTCATTATCAATTGAAGAGTTAATATCGACTAATACAGATGATAATGTTATTAACAAATCAATCATTGGGCTTGAAAAAATATTCAACAAAAAAAAAACTGGAGATTTTAAGAAAAATAAAGTTTTTCAAGTAATAAGTAAATATTTGTTCATTTCCTTTAGTTGATTAACTTTGTTTTCTTTTCTGTTTTAGTAGAGCTGTGGTATTAAACAAAAAATATCTGATACATTCAAACAATAATTGCACTTCCATGAATCAAATAATTTATCATTTTTCAATATTAATAATGTACACCACTACAGAGAACAGCAGCACCAACTTAAAATATCTCCACCAAGTTCCTATGCATCAATTCAATTGCTGATCAATCATTATTGCGTTCAAATGATTTACAACTTACTGATGTATTATTTGATCAATGATCCATCCACTGTTAGATAATTCTTCAACAAGTTCAACAACATTTCAATCAAGAAAAGATTTTTCATTACAGTACGTGTTTCCAAGGTTTGATAAAGTTTTTCAAGAAGCTGTTCGAGATGCATCACCAGCAAACTTTCCAGCACAATGATTAAAGAAACAATAATAGTTATAAAATAATCCATCATAATGCAGTCAATACTTATAGTATTGATTTTTATCCAACGTCGTTTGAATTTGATCGAATAATAGTTACCATGAAAAAAACATATGCAGCATTTAGTAAAATATTCAATGAACACATGGTATGCTTAATACAAGATCGAATACATTTTCATCTTAACTTTATTTTTTTGTCTCGTTTAGATATTTTTAGCATCAGTATTAAGGCAGAAATTTTCTCGTGGTCCACGAGTATACCGTTATTCGTCTGAAGCATTCATAAACAAACAACAATTATATGATCATCAAATGTTAGAACAAAAAGTGAAATACGAGAAGATTAATCAAGTACATATTTCGTCGAGTATAAATCAAACTATTGTTTTACATATATTTTCTAATCTTTTTGTCTTTTTTAGGAATGTTTGGTTTTAGAAAAAGAACAATGAGAAGAGTCTTCAATGCAATTATGTCAACAAGTCACATCGATGTATGTTTTAATTAATACAACAAATAATAATGATAGTCCAGTTAAAATTGAAATGGATGTTACGTATGTACATCATCAATGTATTATTTAAGAGATGAAGTCAATCAAAAGAATCATCGACCCTTGTCTAGTTTTATCGGTAACCAATTGGTAAGTTCCAGAGTGTATTTCGTTTTGATTGATTATAATAACTCGTTGAAATATTGCTGAGTTTGAACAATTCGTTCAAATAAGCTTGCATAATCTCAAAATCACATATGAATTTATTTTTATTATTTTTTTCTATTAGCAGGTCATTCCTAAAACCAAATCAATCTTCATTATGGTTTATTTGGTGAAGATGTAGTTCAAGCATTAAAATCTAGCTATACAAAATTATTCAGATTCATGAAACAAAAAAATATATTTCTGAAGGTAATACATTATGTTAATCTATATATAGTATTTTCTTTCCAAAAACTGTTATTAAATAATGCTAGTAATTTGTAACCATTTAAATTATTGTATAATTCTTATCACTTATTTTTATTATTGTTTATTTCAGCAAGCAATTGAAACTTATCCGATTATCCAGATAAAATCGATTAACAATATTAAAAATTAATCTTTGTGTAATTTTTTTCTCGATTCTTTTAAAAGAAACTATTTGTTAATTCTATTGATAGTAGTTCTAGAAGTTTTTTTTCACCGGATTGTAACTATTTCTATTTGTTTTGCATTATTTGTTTTAAACGTTGCATAAAATGAATAAAATAAACTCAATTGTATAATGAAAATTGATTTTTCAGTTTTTTAAAAATGTTCTTACTACGAGAAATCCTTCAAAACCATCAATTCATAAAATTTAACGAAGGAATAAAATACCTGAACATATAGTGAGATATACTAGTGTTAAAAGATGTTACTCTATGATGCATAATGTGTTACTTTTGTTATTGCTGATTT